ACTGACTTGGTGGCTAGTGGGCTAAGATATATATCGCCCAGTCGGAGCCACTACAGTAGCTCGCGGCGCTAGATCCTAGATCTAATCTAATGTCAGCAAAATTAATACTGACTAATTAACTAAATAAAAATAATAATTAAAATAAAACTGTGCAAATATTCACACGTGTATCCCCCACTCCCGGACTACAGTATTCACATTCCAACTTCATTTCTTTTCCCTTCACCCCCTTGTGCAACCCCTTATTGCACTACAAGTAGCGTTTCAAGAACTGGTTCAAGAGCCCCGGCCAGCTCACGTCGTCGTGGAGCTGGCCGGCGCGGAGGCCACGCATTGTATAACTCGTATACAGGCGCTCCGCGTCGCGCTCTAGGAAGTGTGCGAGAACTTGCACCGCAACACCTTCGGTCAGGTGTTGCGAGTTGAAGGTTATCCGGATATCCTTCAAGAACGGTAGGAGTTGGATCTGGATACGTACCATCAAAGCTCCTCATCGTGGGACGGATCCCACGCCAGCGTTTTACCTACTTCGCGACCAGTCCCGCGTCACCCGAGGTGACGAACCTCGAGGTGTTATCCGGGCGTTACATAAGATAGTCAGCGACGGCGCTGAACTCTTGGATCATCGTATGTACCGGCTCAAGTCCTGGTTCGGTCGGTCCTATCGTTGCGAAGGGGGTGACAGGTAGCGTACGGAAGTCTACCGGACCTGGATGTTCGGCGTAATCCACCGGCGGGTAACCGCCCCAGCTGGGATCGACGGAGAACACCAGTTCTCTGGATCCGCGGGCGGCTCCTCCATGGTCGGTTCGTCGCGATACAGCGCTTGTCCAGTCTGCCACCTGCTTCTGGAGGCAAGTGGGAGGGCTTGGGTCTCGGACGCCACGTTGGCGTCCACCGGCGGTCGTCTTTCTTCTGCGTCGCGACTGAGGTAGGACCCAGTCGGGCGCCATCCTTGCGACGCGGGTGCACTTGGAGGTACGGCACCACCGGGCCCTCTCGTGCGGGCACCGGGTAGCCTTGCGGCCATGGTCTGTTCCATGTCACGGGCACGCCGACGCGTGGTGTTGAGCTCTGCCGAGAGGTGCGCGAACGCACCCAGCTGCTCCTCCGACAGGGAAGGTCGATCATCAGGTCGTCTCGTAACGGTCGGCCTCTCGGGGCGACCTTGCCCGGGTGGTCCGAGCGAAACGACGCGTGAGTCTTCGACGAGCACTAGTCGCGAGTGCAACTCGTCGATTAGTGCTCGGAGATTCTCCAACGATTGGCTGACTCGATCGAACCTCCCTTCACGCAGGGAGCGGAGTTCGGCCATACAGAGAGTGTAAAAGGTATCGGATACGTCTATCCGGAGCAAAGTATGTACTTCCTCGGTGTATTCGGCTATGCTCTCGAACTTCGCCGCCGCTCGTTCTTCGAAGGACCCGACCGACGGTTCGCGGTCTCGAGGACCTGCGTCGCCGTCGCCCGACGGGGCTGATGGGGCTTGCATAGCGGCCGGACTGGGATCTGCCGCTTCGGAACGAATGGAGGGCTCGTAGTCTTGACTCCTCTCGACGCGTTCGGACGCGGAGGAAAGCGACTGTCTTCTCGATTCGATCCTCGAGGGTCTTCTAGGTCGGGAGACCACTGTAACATAAACACCCCCAGCGGCGGAGGGGTGTAGCTAACCGTCCGATGGTGACCCTGGATCGGAGGAAGACGGGGGACTCCTCCTGCTCACGGAACCGGGCACGGGCCCAGTAGCAGTGTGGTAGAGCGGGTCGGGGTAGGTCGCGCGCACGCACGAGCGGATCGATGCCTCGACGCCCCGGAGGAGCGCTGGGTGAAGTACCAGCGCCGACGGGCGGAGGCGGATCCCGGCTCGCTCGCGTGTCGCGCAACCCGACCCGTGCCGGTTCCTAACTAAAAGGCGGGCGAAGGTGTAGCGCTAATTAGAGTCAGCTGGAGGGTTGCTCGGCGGTCGTGGATCGTGACCAAGCTACCTTGGTCCTCTCCCGCCGGCGCCCGTCCTCCTATTTAATGTACAAGTCGGAGTTGTCATACTGTAGTACAGTACCGTACTACTGTACAGCGCGGATTGTCCCGCCCTGTAATACTGTCAGCCATCAGGCTGACAGCACACGTATCGTACATGTGTACCGGCGCGCGCGCTGTAAGATATGCGCGCGCGCACGATGTAAGGTTCGTACCTTACAGCGAGATCCAGATCTAATTGCAAATCTAATGTTTACAGTAGTCGTCGGCAATTATCCCACAGAATGTGCTGCTTGGATACCGAGCGGCGGCGAACCGACCGCTACAGACGGATCAATTAGCGCGTGTGCGGGCCCTGCCACTACAGTGGCCGGCCGCAGCGCGTTCCGAAGGCGCCGCCGCGGTTGGAAGGCAGGGCCGGCTGGCGTCGGCGCAGGAGCCCGGCTCGGGCTCAACGGCTGGCCGTAGGCGCGCGCAGCGAAGATGTCATCGTAACTGTCCATCGGTGTTCGAGCGAAGAGTTGCTGGAGAGGAACGTTGTCGTCGTCGTCGGAGGAAGTCTCGGAGTTCGCAGGAGAGTGTTGGGGGAGAATTGGGGGGTCAGTTCGGTCCGCGTGGGGGGAATCGGAGCACGCGCTCTCGAATCGGACGAGGCGGCGGCGTTATATACCGCCAGCTCGTTGACCAGCCAGGAGGCGTGATCATCCACACGGAGGGGTTCCTGTCCCCGCATCGCACGCAATTGAAGGAAACGTCCGGAATGGAAACGTCCGGAATGGAACCGTGCGGTCGAATGGGAGGTCGTTACCGGGACGTAGCGAAATGTAAGGAAGGGGGTATGTAGTATAACGACCGGCGCGTGCGCGCGGAGGTTATAACCGGGCGGTCGTGCAGGGAGCACGCGTGGGCGGGTGTGTCCACGTGTAGGGAGCGCGCGCGTGTACCGACCGGTCGTGGCGTGGCGCACGTGTACAGTAGCGCACATGTAGTCTGTGCGGTAGTCTGTAAGCATTACGCGTGTACAGTAGTGCACGCGTGTAGTAGCAGCGTCCGCGCGGTAGTAGTAATTATGGTGCTAGCTTTTTAATTGTGTACAGTACCCAGTACGCACTAGGCGACAGGTACTGTACTACTGTACTGGGGCAGGTGTCCGAGGCGTCCCTCTAAGGGGTTAGGACTGGACACCCGTCCCCACCAGTAAACGGGGGCAAGCTAGCACCCGTCTCTTTCGCGCCTAATCTACGACCGTTTGGTAGTTTATCCGCGCCTTGGCTTCGAACCCGTTACCGGTCGCTTCCGTTTACGCACCACGGGGCGACTGAGCATAACTGGCCAGTGGGGCTCTCCCTTTTCGCAAGTTGGCCCGTATCGCATCTATTCGCGCCGTGCGTCCCCGTCGACTGCTCCCTCTACAAGGCCTCCGCCTTTCACCCAACCCAGGGCGGAGAGGAGTTATTCCACACTGCTCGAGAGCCTTGGACTGCTCTGCCAGGATGAGCATGAAGGCCCCAAAGTCCTTCTTGCCGAAGGTCTCGTCTTTTCGCCACTTCAAGATAGAACGCATACGCTGGCTCATCTTATTTGGCCTCACCCTCTTTAAAATATGTTTGACAGAGATGAATGGTTTCTTCTCAGAAAGATCGGGCATGGCAACAGCCTATAACACTTTTATGTATAGGTGATGGAGGCACCACACCCTGTCCTCAGCCTCCTTGAAGCCCATGTTCATTTTAACCTTCTGCACCACACGGTCAATGGTCAAACACGGTCAATCCAGTTCGTATTCTTTCGGCTCATATGAAGCCCTCTTCTTGATGCAACCCCGGAGTTCTTGCTTGGTGATCTCCTCCAGGCTCGTGGCTTTGATCCATTGTGCGGTGAAAAATATGCGAAGGCAAGAGTCATCGATCGACGCGCGATAAGACGTGGCTGTCACTTACGCCCGGGTCACGGTTCCTCTCCTCAATCCGTTTTTCGTACAGTTCTCTTTTCTTCACAAATGATGTGAAGTTCTTCGTCGCGACGCCATTGAGGTAAGGAGCCTCGAGATTTGTGACTATAGTCCGACGCACGGTCTTCGTCGGCGGACTGGTCGGCGTAGCCGGGCCGGTCGACATCCTCGATAAACTTGTACAGGCCTACGCTGCATATTTTGCGCGAAAGTAATTACTGTGACAGTTAACGGCCTGCACAGGTCAAAAGTGATGTACTCTGACGAAGAGGAACGTCTTAGAGTTCTGCGTTCTAACTTACAAGGCACACGAAGCGACGAGTTTCCTCTGGCCGGGGGCTCTTCCCTCTCCAGCCAAGCACTGCCTTTATTGATTTCATTCCCTCACTGGCCCTCGCGTCTCTTTGCGATGATGGCCTGCTCGACAGTGCAATTACAATGTCAGCACTGGAGCACGCGACCTTTGGGCGTGAGTGTTGGTTCGGAATTTAATCAATCTAATGTGTCCCTCGTCCCTCACCCCTGGCGGGGGCATAATGTTACACCGAGCCGAGGCTTCAAGCTTCGGCTTGATATATCCCAAATTGGGATATGGTACCGAGAGGTACTACACTTTCTTGTGGGGGAAGCGAAAGTCAAGAATAAAATAGGTCGAATACTGTCCTCATATGAGGACAAATGTCCTCCCTCACATGAGGACAATGGTCCGATAGACACTAGCGGCTGCTACATCGCATCGTCGCGCACCGTACTTCGCGCTCTTCCCCGTTCCTCACACTACTCTGCCAGCTTGGGGCGTCAAATAACTGGGATACCGAGGAGAATTGCGTTGTTGCTCGTGCATGGATCGCAGCGTCCGAAGATCCGATGGCTGGCACCGACCAGCTACCCCGCAGTCCACATCCAGTCAGAATCGTTGACTGGATGTGGACTCCGCGGTCGAGTTGCGGCGCGACTCTATTCCAGAAAATCTATTGGGCAATAGAGCATTATAGATGTTTTCGATTGGAGAGGCAAATACGGTCATGCGGTAGAGATGCTCTAATATACAAAAAGCGACCAGGCTCTATTACTAAGATTGACGCCGTGCCACCAACATGGGAACGCCGCTATTGGCACCCGTCTCCTTGTCCACAAACCTCGGAGTCTCAACAATTGTCGAGAAATTCTTCACTTCGCTCGGATTACACGCCAACGTAAACTTGAACCTTCGGTGCATTTCGGCAAGTACAAGAGGACCTTCATACTCGGCCAGAAAGCGCCCGGCGCAATTCAACTGTCCCATACCAAACGGATTGTACGCCCCCGCTGGTACTCGCTCCACTGCAATACTGTTTTCAACTGAACCCCATCGCTCCGGCTTAAAAATTAGAGGATCTTTCCATACAGCAGGGTTCCGATGGCAGTTGCGGATGTTGCCGTAAATCTCGGTCCCTTTCGGGACGTGAACACCACTTCCTCTCAGCGTGATATCTTCCTCTGCAAGGCGCAAGATGTTTGCACCTGGAGGATGCAGTCGTAGAGTTTCCTTCCACACATTCTTTAAGTAGGACAGGCTTTCTACATCCTCCTTCGTAAGAGGCATTTGTAAAGGTCGGCGTCCACATTTCTCATCCAACTCCTTGTGAAGAATCGCCTCGATGCGTGGGGAGGAGCACGTCTCCAACATGCTCCATATGATTGCAGTACCGACACTGTGGTACCCAGCGACTGCAAACTCCAAGACTATAGCGACTAGATCTTCATCAGAATGACCCTGCAGGTCTAAAAGAGAGTCTAGAATGTCCGACTGTCGGGCTTCCTTCTGCGTTTTTGTTTCTTTGAGGCGTTTAGAAATAAACTCGTTGCACGAGGCATAAAGCCTGTCTTTGCATTGCATCATCCTGTTTCTGGACCCAAAGGAGGCAAATAATCGTCGAAAAGGTTGATTCACCATCTCTGACATGAGCTCTTCGGTGAGCAAAGAGACATCGTTTGCAAAACGATTGCGCTCCTGGCGTCTCATCTCGGTTCCAAAGGCAACGTTGAGAATGACTGATAAGGACATCGCCGACAGTTGTGCAGAAATGTCAACCGTCTCTTGCTTACGTACGGCTAGTTCAAGACTCGCGCAAAGTTCAGCAGCTGACCTGGACATGGCCTGATGAAAACCGGACAGCATAGAGTGATTGAAACGGTCTCTCAAATTCCGTCTAGCGATACGGTGAGGCGCGTAGGACATACTGAACAGGCCACCGGGAGCAATGAGGCCGAAGACATATTGGAGCTTGGGCGTTCGTGGGAAGATGTGAGGATCTGAGGAGATGTGAATGATGTCTGCGGGGACAGAAGTGACGAGGACGCGTGAGGGGCCTACCCACAGTGGGAATATGGCACCGTAGGTGTTGCAAAGCGTATCCAGAGAGTCGGCAAAGGTCTTTGGTGAGCGCATGATGTCGCGCGTGGGACCGGAGGAGAGAAAAGAGAGGAAAGGGGGGCCAGGGGGAAATGAAGACTTCTGAGTGTTTCGGAAGTGATAAATGGCTATGCAAATGGAGAGGAGGGCTAAGAAGGGCAACGCCGGCATAACGTGTGTTGGGATGAAGAATGGGTACGAAATTAGGGAAGACAGCATTGTGGTGCGACGAAGTGGGACCCGCGTGTTCTTAGAGAGGTGTGGGTACCGATGACGAGGTTGCTAGTTGCTACCACAACTCGGCAACGCAGCTTTCTGTTTGCGCAATCTCTTACCACAGCTCAGTGTGAACCGGAGCTTTTTTTTTTTTTCGATTGCGAGCTCCGGTACTGGATGAGAGTACCAATGCAGCAGGTCTAAAGTGGGTGTGTTATGCCAAAGACACAAACAGTACCCTTCTGGGAGGCTCAATTATGTAAAGGGGTCAATTATGAGAAATAACTCTAGGGTCCTCCCCCTCTCAGCACTTCACATCTTCCTGAAATACAACCCGCTGCCCACCTCATACCTTTCTCTACTCTCCTAACCATCTAATTGTCGTCATTGATGTCGACGCTGGAGTGATTTTTCAGAATTGACCCCTTTTCAGAATTGAGCCCCCCAAAAGGGTACATCTCTGCTTTCTTTTTCTCCTTCTGCCTTCCTGCTTTCCCTTCTATTACATCGCCTCCAGGGCATGAAACCATGCCAGTCACGACATGCTTGCAAACATATGTACTGATAGAGCGCCATGTTGTCTGAGGTCCATTTCGTCATCAATTCGGAAGTCCTTCGTTACCAATCGAGTAGAGGAAACGATATCGACCAACCCCACATTCCACCTGTGAGCGTCAGGGCTTCAGAAGCAGACAATTGTGAAGTTGTACAACAACCGTGATGGCGAGCTGATTAAGAGTTTCGGGGGGTAGATGTAGATATAGCACAATGCCAAGCTGAATTGATTTGTGCCAACACCGTGATGCAAGGGAAACGTCGGTTTTCCAATCTCTGTTCTACGCTACTTTCGGACTTTGTTTCCAAGGTCAGGACTGTAAAAATGGTATATGTAGTGGTAATAGAGACGTGCCCTTAAGACGCAGGTAGTATTAGGTGCTCAGCACATACACATCGCAAAAAACAACGAGAATAACGAGCTGGTCCTGTCGGTTGCTCGGTTGACTTTATTATTCGGCGAGCAGGTCCCGAGTGGACGCAAGACAACACAAAGTCAAGTGTGCGTGATGCGAATATAGGGTAGCAGCTTCACCTCATGGTTGACCGGGATTCAGCCTGGGCCGGAGTGGTACCTCGGGCTCTGGCATATCCATATTTGCTCGAAGCTGGCCGAAAAGGTAGTGTAGAGTGTCACTGCTGATCACATGAATGTGCGACTAACTTTGAGACCAGCAGGCTCTGTCCCACGGGAAGATGCCCAACAAACAAACTGCAAGCCTTTTTATATGCCTTATCCCCTTTTATATGTCGAGGGACCTCGGA